GTCACAATGTCTCTGCCATGGCAAGCTGGCAGTGGCTTTTCAAGCCCTTTCTAGATTTTTTTTATTTTATTTTTGTTTTAATTTTTATAAATTTTTATTTTTAGTTAATGCTTTAGGAGCACAAAAAGGGTCCATTTAATCAGTGGTGCCTCTGCGCTTCCAATACTAAAAGACTATCCATCACCATATAAAGTTAAAAAAAAGGATAAAAGTCAAATTTAAATAAATAAAAAATGACAAAGGTGCTTGAATAAAAAGGAATGTCTACACAAAGTTTTAGAACTAATATGTAAAATGAATTTCCATCGCACTTGAGGCTCTTCTTGAGTTTAAAGTTTTGAGCTAAAATGTACAGTGTATTTCCATCGTATAAAACTTGCAAGAAGGTTGTACGAATTTGAAAAATTTAGGATTTCAAAAATAGTGATTATAGTTAGTGTTACTGGCATTACATCAAATATTGCTATATTGTTATTTTATATTGCTAAAGCAAATAAATTAATGTACCTATTCCGAAATCAAATAATCTAATAAAAAAATATTTATTTATATATATTTTAACAACATAAATCTTTTACATTTAAACATTTACATTATTAATAATCATATGTATCATTTGGTTAAATATTTTTATTTTTAATATTTTTTTTTAATTTAGTCCCTCAACACTTCAATTTTGTTCAATTTAATCTCTATACTATACAATTTTGTTCAATTTAATCTCTATAACATGACATAGATTTTTTTTCTTGATTTGTCACGTCAACATATTAATGCCATGTGGCACTATCACGTTATCATGTAGATGTTACGTCAACCAAATATACCACGTTAGCACTGACGTCATCCTTTTTAATAGTAAATTTGAATGTTGCCAGGAGTAAGAACAAAACTAAAGCAATTTCAAAATAAAAATATTAAATTGTTTCAATTTTGAGTACAATGATTAAATTGAATAAAATGCATAATTACAGGAAATTGATGGGTGCTGTGACCATAAAACTAACATATTTGATTAATATTTTTTTCATTTAATTTTTGTTTCTATAAGAAAAAAAATAGAAAGTCCATTTGGATAGAAAAATAAATAAAAATTTGAAGAATTATATATAAACTATATAATATGTTTAGATAACAGAAAGTATGATTTTTTAATAGAATAATTATGATGTAAGGAAAAAAATTATGTGTGCACATTTTAATTATTTTTTATTTTTAAATTGATTATAATATTATGTTTTACGTTCTGCTCTTACTTTAGAGTAATACTTAAAAAAAAATCTTTCTTTTAATGATTGAGGACAAATTTGTTCTAAGTAATTTGTTGCTCACTGAATTTAAAGCAGAAAAAGAACAATTGGTTAACGAAGGCTTTAAAGCTAGTGAACAAAAACACGGTGACAATATTTTCATTTTAAAATTGATTGAAGAAAAAAAAATTTACTACTAGCACTTTTAATGAATCAATTTTATGTTGACTATATATTAGAGCAAATTAACTATAAAGGTGATGTTACTAAAATTATAGCATTAATTTTCAATTATAAATAGATTTATATTTAATTCAAATTCTTTAATGTGTAAAATTAAAAATCTGAATATACTGTAAAAATACTAATATTTTTTATCATCTGCATTAAATGTTAAAACTTATTTTACTTATTTATAAATAATATTAAATGTTAATGCGAAATGTTTATAAAATATAAAATATAAAGTGTAAATAATTGAAATTATGTAATTTTTATGTTTTAATTTTAAGTATTTTCAGTAAATATGTGAAATTATTTAATTTTGAACATGTGCAAAAAAAAATGAAAAAGATAAGAGCAAAAGGGCAGAATTATGTAGCGTAGACCTAAAGTCAACTTTTCTTATCCAATTTGTTTTCCAAGTCCAATCTTGAAAGATTCAACAAACCAAATCCACATTGAATGAAAAAAAAGAAAATTTGCTTTTATCGTATAATTTTTAATTTATTTATTATTTAATTGTGTTCTTAATTAAAATTAAAGATATTTATTTAGTTTGTTAATTGAATAAATTTATGTATAAGAAAAATAAAATATAAAATATAAAATATCAATATTTGATCACATTAAAAGAAAATATTCAATGAAAATATTATGTAATTATTTAAAAAATAAATTAATCAGGAGACAGTATAATAAAAAAATTAAATACAGAAACTTCCTTGACAAAGACCTGCTGGATTGGAAATGCCCATTTTTTAACCCGCTTGATTGTCAAAGATGTTAGCCAACCTATTTAACCATCTCCTACCCTAATGCCCTGTCAGCCAGATTTTGCCATACCAACATAATTCTTTTTTCACTGGTTAATCCTCTCTTTATGTTTTAATTTTTAATTTAGATTAATAATTAAGAATTTAAAGTTGTAAAAATATAAAATATCTTGTTACAAAAAAAATTAATTAAAACTCTTTAGATTTGAAACTTTTCCTTTTCTCTCACATTCAAAGACAAAAAACCCAAAAACATCTTTTTTCTTCAAACTTAAGAAAAATTTGCTTCAATAAACTTTTCTATTGAACAGATCCCTACAAAGAGTCTTTGGCATTAACAGTTTGAATAGGAGGATCCGCTGTGTAAATCCAATTCTGGAGAAAAGGTCTCAGCACAATCTCTTAGAAAATAGAAGCAAACTTTTCCACACTATTGAGACCCTTTAAAGCAACCCAAGGGCAGATGGTTGTGTAATTGCAGCCCACAAAATTTTTAAAATATTTTATATATTATATATTTTTTCTCTTAATGATCTCTTCAAAATAATATCTTTGGGTAAAAGTTGATTTCGTCAATCAAATATAAATGTAGAGCATCATTATCAAGTTGATGCATTTTTAGTGACAATTGATTCTCGGCTAAAAGCATTGAATAAGCATTGAATTTGAGATTCAATTAGCAAATTATGAAATTTTTAACTTTAAGCATTGTTTTGGATCTTAATAACAATTATGAATCATTTAACATTGATGATTTCTACAAGTTAATAGAGAATTTTATTCTCAAAATTTCATAGAATAAAGAAAGACTTCTTTTGAGGTTATAATTGAAACGTTACGAGCTTGATATATCTCATCACTAAAGTTTTAAAGATATTTAGACACTTTTTAAATTGTGCCAAAGTTTAACAAAAATAAGAAAGTTAAAAAAGATAGATTAATTCACCTTGCTTAGGCTCTTCTGGTTTCAACAGCAATTACAAATAGAGTATTTTCAATAATGAAAATTGTGAAAACAAGACTCAAAAATAAAATAGATGATGAGTTTCTTATAGATATTGAGAAAGACATTGTTAGGCTTTTCAGTACAAAATCAATAATTGATGAATTTGAATCCAACAAATTTTGTCGAGCACAACTTTCTTAAAAGATTACTTTCTTTTTTTATTCCTTTTCATTTGATTATTGATTAAGTTCAACATTTTAGTTTTTAAAAGTTTTAATCGTTATTCTTCTTTGTCTTTAACCTCTAATAAAAGTTAACTAACTCTACCCTTAAAGCCACCAATCAAGACGACATCGTCTTAAAGATCAAATTTAATATTTGACAATATTATAAGCATGGGTGTTGCACGCTCCTGAAAAAATAAAATGACTTTGGAGTTTCTTGGCACATGCATGCTATAGCAATTGATTTTTGGTTTCTTCACTTTTCTCCTTGATTTTCAAATTCTATAGTTAAACCTCTATAATTAATACATAATTATTGAAACCTATCTCGCACAAAGATGGACTCCAAGCAACAATCACATTACATAATTTTCTCTTTTAATACAAGAACATTACACTAAAGCTTCTTAATTCGCTAAAAAAAGTTAAAAGACGAGATCTAAGGAGATATTAGGAAACAAGTAACATTAGAGTAATCTTTTTCAAAGGTTCAAGTATATATATCAAGAAATAAAAAACATTGGAGTTATATTTTACAAAAACCTCATAATTGAGTCATATATATATAATTTTGATATATAAAGAGATTATTAATTTACATATTAAGTGGGACCTATGTATTTTTTAAAATGTATTATCTAATAAATTTAATAAATTATTAATTTACCATATTGATACCCAGTCAGGATTGATTAAAAATAGTATTTAATTAAAGCTATTAATTTATAAAAGTTATATTCTATTTCATAAAAAAGAATAAAGTGTGAAAATGTCAACATATAAAACATCCTTATTTTTAAGGTATTCTAAGTCAATCTGATTATTTGATAGATTATCAAAAGCCGATTAATTTTTGAATTGTTATTCGAATTCTTAATTAAATATTGTAAATGAGTAGGGCTATTGGCACTCCTAATTGTCTATTAATAATCCCCACTAACAACTTATAATTGTAATTTTATAAATTACCCTCATTTAGCACCTTTTAACTCTCCATAACTAAATAAATTTAGTTGTATATTGTTACTGAAAAGCAAATTCGTAAATTAAAGTTAGTTTATAAAATAATAAATTAAAGTTTAAAATCATATTTATAACAATTAAAGAATTTCAGTAAGCGTTATATTAATGTTTAAAAATTTATAACCAAGAAGTAATATATATAATTAAAATTTAATATAAAAAATTATTATTTATAATTAACTTTGAATAATGAGTATCTTAAAATTACTATTCAAATCTATAACAAATAATAATTTTATTATTTAAATTTAATTACAAATATCTTAATTTTACATAATCGATTTATGTGTTTTCTCGTTATGGGTATTTCATGCAATCCAAATTGACTATATTATGATAAAGAATGCGTTGCCAACTTTTGAACTTAAAAATGAGTTGTCCAAAACTCGTCGGCAAAAATCATTCGATAAAAGAAAAAGAAAATTTTGGTCAAATTTTTAATAATAATAATAATGAGTTGCATTGTGACGGCAGAAGAAGATGTACAGCAGGATTGTTCATGTTTAGAAAAAAAAAAAAAGAGGAAATTATATTTATAGGCTTGAGCCAAACGTCCAATTATAACAAAATCGTGTTGAATAAGAAGTCTGAGTTGGTTCAAACACTGAAAAAGAAAAGTCCAAAACAACACAAAATCCTAAACCTCCTACCGAAACCGAAAACCAGTTGGATATTTCTCTAAATTCTCTGTGCACAATCATTTTCCTTGCGAAATCTAAATCTCCCACCATCAAGCACTGCATCGAACCCGCAAGCCAGCAGCATGTACCATGACAACAGCATCATCAACCATAACCCTTTCTTGACGCAGCCGCAGCCGCAGCCGTCTACGCAGGTTTTGACTTCTCACTGGACCCGTTTCGAGGATAAACTCTTTGAGCAGGCCTTGGTGATGTTACCGGAGGGAATTCCTGATCGGTGGCAAAAGATTGCTGAAAGAGTTCCCGGTAAGTCAGCCAAGGAAGTAAAAGAGCATTATGAAATGCTTTTGTACGATGTTTATGAAATTGACGCTGGTCGAATTGAGATTCCGAGTTATGCTGATGATTCTTGCCTGTTGTCGTCGAGTTGGGACTTGGACAATCAGATCTCTTTCGAAGCTTCGAAACCAAAACAGCATGGAGAAAATGAAAGGAAGAAGGGCACTCCGTGGACAGAAGAAGAACACAAGTATAATCAATTTTTTTCTTTCTTTTTAATTAAATTTAATTTCTGATATTTGGAACATGTTTTTCCTGTGAATTTTTTTGGTTGGAGTTGAGTGTTTTGAGTTTTATGATTGATTCTGGTTTTTGTTTGTTTCAAGCTAGAACTGAATATAAAGTAAGATTTCAACTTATTTCATTCATTTTATCCTATTAAGTTAAGATCTTTTATTTGGGCGTGGGCGCTTCGATTTGTTTTGAAATTATCAACAGCTATGTTGTTGAATGATTGAAGTAAAGCTTAAATCATATGTTTATCTTCTGCAACTGGTCCTATTTGCTGAACCTGCCGAATCTGCAGTTTTGCAGAGGATTAAAACTCGCCCACGTTGCATATTCATTAAAATTGATTGATTGATCTCAAGAGATGAACAGAAATGTCATCTGAGACATAATTAAATCAATGCAATATTTGAATTCCCAAGTGTGTGGTGCTTTTCATAGTATTGTTTTGATGGTTTAGTTGCTGCCATGTTGTTGCTGTCTGGATATTACATGCCAGGGTGATGCTGCTGGTTGTTCTCGCCTTAGATATTGAGCTGCATGATTACATTCTTCAGCTCATTTTCGTTGATATGTCAAACAGGTTATTTTTAATTGGGCTGCATAAATTTGGCAAGGGTGACTGGCGGAGCATATCAAGAAATGTGGTGGTGACACGAACACCTACTCAGGTAGCTAGCCATGCTCAAAAGTACTTCCTTCGGCAGAGTTCAGTGAAGAAGGAGAGGAAAAGATCAAGCATCCATGACATTACTACAGTTGATAGCAACACGATGGATGCACCTGTCAACCAGAATTGGATTCCTGTGCCAGGTGGTCCTGTTCAACAGGTACCTTCACGGCACCAGTTGCCCACTGGAAGCCATTTACCTGCTCAAGGAGGGTCATTAGGGTATCAAAACTACAGCTATCCGATGTAAAGATGGACCAGAGCTTGGAACTCTGTATATATTATAGACCAAGTCCCTGCACTCAAGAATGCAATTTGTAAAGATCCTTGATGTTCAATTTAGTTTAGGCCTGTAAAGTAAGTTGAAACTAGGTTGTTCTTAAAATCATTGTATTTGTTTTTACAAAACGTTTTAAGGAAAGGTTGCTGGAACAAATGAGATTTATAGAGTGGGAGACGTTGATTCTGCAGGTACATATCTGGACTTCAAAATATTATGACTTTATTATTTTTCCACTTTGGTCACTGGATGACTTGGAGAAGTGAACTTATAAATAAAAATATCAGAATATTTTTCTTCTCACTCTGATGCCCTTCACACTTTGAGATCTTTTCAAAGCTGATGTTTGTACATTCACTTTTGCCAAACCAAGAGACAAAGGAAAAAGATACTTTGAATGTTCAAAGACAAATTCTTCATATTTTATCATAGACATTTTATCTACAGCAACTGCATTGCAAGTTCACATGTATTATCAATGCAGGCATATCTCAATTCTGTTATCTGCAAGTTCATATTATGGACCTAACTCTAAGCTATGGTGTAACAGTAAGGCGAGTTTATCTATTGCTTCATTTTCCCTTCAAGATCTTCTCAAATCTCAATTGATTTGGCATGTTGATATGATCAGAACAATTCAAACTGCCATCTCGGACTGACTTTACATTTACTAATTTTGGACCTATGGCATTGCAGGTGGAAGTAAATCTTCTAACAGGGGAAACAACTTCTTTGTGGACAGATATTCAATGACTGTGGCCAAAGCTTAAATCCTGATGTGGATTTAGGATAGGTTAGTTCAAATATAATACTCCTATGCATGACTTCAATTTAAAATGAATGCTCTGTAACCTTAGCTTATTTGTTTTTAGTCTCAAGTCTTTCAGCGTCGGGCATGCCTAATAAATTTTTTCAACTTTACACATTGTTGCTATAAAAGGATTTGTCTCATTGTCTGTGTTCATATGCTGTTAGTCAGAATTGTGTACAAGACCTTCCTGAAAGTAGCTCTTCTATCATTTACTCGATAGTTTATTGGTTAATAGGATCTGTGTGACTCGAGACTAATCAATTATCTTTTGCAGATTGAAGGTGCTTTTGTTCAAGGAATTGGATTCTTTATGCTTGAAGAATATCCCACAAACTCAGGTGGACTAGTGATTGCAAAATGCACATGGACATATAAGATCCCTGCACTACAGTGGATACCATACAAAACAATTTAATGTTGAAATCCTGAACAGTGTACATCATAAAAAAGCGTCTACTTTCTTCAAAAGGCAAGTTCATATTAATTTTCTTGAATCCATGTCATTTTTCTCTATTCTTGATTTACTTTTTGAATAGTGAACATCATAAAAAACATGTACTTTCTTCACTGGCAAGTTCATATTAATTTTCTTGAATCCATGTCATTTTTCTCTATTCTTGCTTTTTTTAATTTTGTCTGATACTTACTGGCCTTTACGAATGGTAATGTTGTTCTATGTATTATGTTCTCTTTTGTCAATAGTTTCTGCAATATCAATGCCAGGTGTTTCGGCTTGATAATTACATTCTTGTTTTAGTTGACCAATGTATTTTAGGGCCATTTTTGCCGAAGTTTGCTTTTGCAATTTCTGTTAGTGACATCGGAACTTCATCCATCTTACTATTCATTATCTCGTTTACAAATTTGCTTATGTTTACAACGTCAGCAGTGTTATCTCATCCAAACCACCCACATGAATAATCAACTTCTCCTTGAACATTTTAGGATTTGGCTTCTTGCATTAACTATGCTGTTTCGATTATTATTATCTCTTTCATATTGTCATCCAGCTGCAGTTGTCTCATTTGAATCTAGGCTACAATCAACTCTTTTTAAAAGCCTAAATCTGGCCAAAAGATTAATTCCTAAGTAAGCATATTTATGAAAAGGCTGAAAGGGAGTCAATATGGACTATTATAGTAATCAAAGTCTTGTTTGTATTAGTCTATGGATTGGGGACATGGAAAGAGTGGGGGAACATAGAGGAACCACCTTAAAACTGGTGAATATTTTCCTTTGCTGCCATTACTCTTGCCGTTTAAGCTCATTGTGCTGCAAGGGCGGCTATAAAAGAAGCCTGGTGGCGGCTTCTTTCATGGAGTGGCCTACACTGAGACGTGTCTAATTCAACATTCCAGTTGGAGGAACCAGCTACCATTCCTGTTGGGAAGGATCTATATGCGCTTGATAGCATTCAAAGGTTCTTGCAGTGGACCATGAGCACAAATTGAGGCAACTCTGCTGGCTGGCTATCTGGATGACTTTTAGTTTATCTACACGCATGTAAACTACTCTTAAGTGAGCTATCTCAGCAAAAGGGGAAAGAGAAATGCAATTTCCCAGTGCTCAATCTGCTTCAAAGTGGATCCATCTCATTGATAAAGCAATGTTGTCACTTAAATTATTTTACCTAATAAATGAACTATAATGTACATGTAATTTGCTCCTGTTCGAAAAGAAAAGACAGCAGTACTTAAAGCAGGAGACTATTGTGAAGTGTCAAAAGTTAAAGTTTGGAAAGGAAATAATAAATCTTCAAGCCTGGAAAAATAGCACCTATAGTAACCGGCTATTTTGCTCAATAATTGAAACAAGGTAAATTCGGTAGTTTGACATCAGATAATTACTTTAGGTATTTATTCTCAGGAACTAAGACGGACAGATTTTGACTCAATGGTTGAGTTAGCCAAGTGCTCAGCGAAAAAACATTCAACCCTTTTGCCCTTCCATTTATTCAAACCAATTATTCCCGGGGTAGAAACAATTAGACTTGTCATGGAACTGGATCAAGGTCGAGGAATTACGAAGTATATATTTTGCCAGTTTGCCATGCCAAGAAGATTGCTCTACCTACCTTTTGCAAGCGTTAAAGAGCAGTGATGTTGCTTTGAGGATGAAGCAATACAACCCAGGTATTTCTGCCAACCAAATAATAATAATAATATTTTCAATTACCAAAGGAACACTTTTATTTGTTAAACATGGTATCAAATTCGGATAAAATAATTAGTCTTGAGAATCAAAGATAATTTGTAGAGAGTTAAAGGGCCTTTTTTCCAATTGGTCCTCGTTAAAAACTCCCGACTGTCGTTCCAGTGTCGAAGGTTGCTATCTATTTAAGAAAAGGAAGGAGGAGTCAAGCATTATATACAAATGTTGCTTTGGTCATTTCTCTCCAAATTTTGTGCTTGACTTTGCCTCCCCGTCTGAATCTTTGGCTATGCCGTTGAAGCCAGCACAAGGATCGATGTAGAAAGAAAACACCAGGTTCAAATGCGTATATAATTATAATAGGGAAGAAATATTAGAATCCGAAAATCCTTTTGTTAGTGAATGTGACATCATTGGTGAGAGAAAGAGCTGTTCGTATTTGTCATTTGCCTTGTTCGTTTGGTATAAGTAGTAGAGTTTGCCTAGTTTCAGCTTGAACAACATCTGACAAATGGGGGAGGTGACAGAAACAAGAAAAGATAGCCTGGTTTTTGCTGTTAATGGGCAGAGGTTTGAACTCTCCAACGTCGACCCTTGTACTACTTTGATTGAATTCCTCCGTTATCAGACTCCTTTCAAAAGTGTGAAGCTCAGCTGCGGCGAAGGTATCTCTCTCTTTTCTCCCTCTGTTTTCCGTTATGTGTATTGAGTTTCATGTGGTTTTATATATGCCAAGGTTTCTGGACTAAAAATCAATAAAAAAATGTGTTGAGTTTCAACTTGAAGGGGTAATCGCCTTGGATGTTGATGATTCTATGAAAGGGTTACTTCATCTACAATTAAATATGGTTGCATGTCATGCTGGTTGTAAGGGTAGATTACTTTCTCCTTCCATGGATTTTCTCTTCGTCTAACTCTATAACTTTTACTTTTTTGTCATGGTTCTTCATTTTTTGACTTTGATATGAGATTGGATTTGATCTACTAATTTTTCACACTTCTGACACTTTTTTTTTTTGTTTTGTGTGCCAATGATGCATGAATCATGGGTTTCTTTTTAATATTAACCATTTTTCTTTACAAAAATTCAGTCTACTGAGTCCAGTATAATACAATAAATATAAAAAGGGTTGACAATGCAAATAATGCTTTACTAATAAATCTAATAATATATGTTGTACAATCAGAAAATAACCAAATAGGAGCATTAATATCTCAATATACCCTTATTGTATTGAATATGTCATTTTAAAATCGTAAAACTTGATAATCATGTAAAGTATTTAAAATTAAAAATGTCAACGGCTTAATACTTTTTTAATCTGATCTAATTACCGATTACATATATTTAAATTATTAAGGGGTGTGGCTTGTTGTTGAATCTGGAATATGCTGAATTTGATTTTGAGAATCAATATTATCAACAATTGAAAGTGTGTGTTGAAACGGATGTAGGAGTCGAGAGGCCGGAAGTTATGGCCACATCCCTTTCAACTATCAAATTATTCTCTCCATTGGTAAGATTTTGGCCTAAGTGTTGTCATGATCTGTGATAGGAGGTGGCCAGTAAGATCAAGCTTCTCAGTTTTAAAGCCAATTTTGTCTAGTTTATTTAATTATTATTTTAATAATTAAAATAATAATATTATTTTTTAATTAAAAAAATATTCCAACTTTGTTTTTCAGGTAAGTAGATCTTACACCGACTAATGAATTAAAAGATATAAAATAAAATAATATTATTTTATTTATTTTAAATATATTTAAAAATTATTATTAAAAAAAAACCTTGAAGTTTGGCAAAAAATACACTCATTCCTTGAAAAGTAATGACATTAATTACCAAGTTAAGTATAATTGATTTAAAAGACAAACATACTCTTTGTTAATCAATTATTTATATATTTATTTATTTTAATTTTTTTCTCTACTCTTTTAACTCAAAATTTTCTTTAATTGCAAAATTATGTGATTCAGTTAGTTGTGAGATTTCTTAATTTTATGATCATCTTTTATTACTAGCAAATTAAATTTTAATTAACTTATATTATAATTCAATCACATATTAAAAAATGTGAAACTTATCTTTAATTTAACTGTAGATTAACGTTGAGGTGAATGTATTAAGTTATTTGCATATCTTAATTGTAGCTTCTTACAAATTTAATCTACTCAAATATTTGTTGTTTTGGTACAAAGCAGATTAAATCAAAGTAACTGAAGTTTGTAAGGGAACTTAGAGAAGCAAGGCCTGCAGTAATGTAGCAAAACAATCTTACCTTGCCTTCATTGACGAATTTCTCAAATTGTACGACTTCTCTATTTGTCCTCTGCGACCAAAAGGAATGATGTTAAATTATTGTTTTCCTGTTTAACAGGAGGCTGTGGCGCCTGCGTTGTCCTGCTGTCCAAGTACGATCCAGTGCTAGACCAGGTTGAGGATTTTACTGTGAGTTCGTGCCTCACACTTCTTTGCAGTGTTAATGGATGTTCAATCACAACAGTTGAGGGAGTTGGAAATAGCAAGGATGGTTTCCACGCTATTCAAGAAAGGCTTGCTGGTTTCCATGCTTCTCAATGTGGCTTTTGTACCCCGGGAATGTGTGTTTCTCTCTTTTCAGCTCTTGTCAGTGCTGATAAGACCAATAGGCCAGAACCCCGCCATGGATTCTCCAAGCTGACAGTTGCTGAAGCAGAAAAGGCCATTTCAGGAAACCTTTGTCGCTGTACCGGTTACCGACCTATTGCTGATGCTTGTAAAAGTTTTGCTGCTGATGTTGATATGGAGGACTTGGGTTTTAACTCCTTTTGGAAAAAAGGAGAGAGTGACGAAGTAAAGCTGAGGAGGTTACCTTCATACAATCATACTAATGCAAGTTCTAAGTTTCCTGAATTTCTCAAGAAGGAACTCAAGGCAGGTGCCACTCTGGTTTCAGAAGGATACCGTTGGTATAGTCCTGTTAGTCTTGAGCAGCTTCAAAGCTTATTGCAAATGAATGAGGACAATGATGGAACTTCAATCAAGATTGTTATTGGTAACACAGGAACGGGTTATTATAAGGAATTATTAGGCTATGAAAGATACATCGATTTAAAATATATTCCTGAGCTATTGATCATCAGGAAAGACCAGATTGGGATTGAAATTGGAGCAGCAGTGACGATTTCTAAAGCTATCAAAGCACTAACGGAAGAAAATGAATATGAATTTCACCAAGGTAAAATCGTGTTCAAAAAAATTGCTGATCATATGGAAAAGATTGCTTCAGCTTTCATAAGGAATTCAGGTAGCGTAGGAGGGAATTTGGTAATGGCCCAGAGGAAACAATTTCCATCAGATCTTGCTACAATACTACTTTCTGTGGGTACATGGGTGAATATAATGACTGGTCAGAAAGTGGAACAGCTTTCACTAGAGGAGTTCCTGGAAATGCCTCCTTTGCATTCCAAAAGTGTTCTTTTAAGTATTAGACTCCCTTGCAGGGAGTCTACTAAGGATATTTCTTCTGCAACTGATACTAAGTTGGTATTTGAAACTTATCGAGCTGCACCACGTCCTCTGGGAAATGCACTGCCCTATTTAAATGCTGCTTTCTTGGCTGAGGTTTCTCTTTGTAGTAACTCTACTGGAGTTACACTAAATAACTGCCAGCTGGCTTTTGGTGCTTTTGGGACCAAACACTCAATTAGAGCAAGAAAGATTGAGGAGTTCTTAACTGGCAAATTGCTAACTGTCAGTGTTCTGTATGAGGCTATTAAATTACTTGAAACTACTATAATACCTGAAGATGGGACCTTGAATCCTGCTTACAGGTCAAGCTTGGCTGTTGGCTTCCTTTTCGAGTTCCTAAGCCCGTTGGTTGACACCCCTGCAAAAATTTCCAGTTGTTGGCTCGATGGATACAATAGCCCCGAGTGGTTCATGGATTCCAAAATAAAACAGAATAATGATCAGCTTGGAGAAATCAAACTACCAACATTGTTATCATCAGGAAGGCAAGTGATTCATTCAAGTAAAGAGTATCATCCAGTTGGAGAACCAATTCCAAAAACTGGAGCTGCCATTCAAGCTTCTGGTTTGTCATATCTTATGTATTATTATATTGCTTCACTCACCATCGTATGTCAAACTAACAAATTTTTGAAGTTTAGTTATTGATGCTTATCTGATAGTTTTATGAATCAATAAACACAAAGAGTTGTTGCTAAGATAATTTCTTTCTGTTCATATCTGTGCACCCTAGAATGGTGCTAGTGCTTGTGCAGCATTAATACATGTCTAGATGGACAGGTTTACAAACAAATTTACTGCAAGTTCTTTGGAAATAAAAGCCCTAACAAGTGCGATTAGTGCACTCCTTAGCAAGAGCCTACTAGATTATTTGAGATGAGACCATTTCCATTAAGTGTTTTAAACATGAGTGCATCATGTGGTTATGACTTAAGATTATTTGCTCCCCTTAAACTTCTAAACGGTACCACCATAAACGGAAAAACAGTTGTCACCCTCTATTTGACTGTCATTAGTAAATGTTCGTTCTTTATTGCTTTATGCTCTATGGAATCAGTGCTCATTTAACCGACTATGTAGGTGAGGCTGTTTACGTGGATGACATACCATCTCCAAGTAATTGTCTCCATGGAGCATTCATTTATAGCACAGAGCCTCTGGCACGGGTAAAGGGCATAAGCTTTAAGGCTGGACTGTCACGTGATGGAGTCACCGCACTTATTTCTGTCAAAGACATCCCTGGGGAAAATGTAGGTTTCACGAGCATATTGGGTGACGAACCTTTATATGCAGATGAGGTTACTCAGTGTGCTGGAGATCGCATTGCCTTTGTGGTAATTCTATGGTTTCATTGTCTGCCCTTTCTTGTGTTTGCTGTAATTGTCATTAATATTGACATAGTACAATGCTAAAAAAAGTGTCTACTAGAATTTTAAGAACTTGATCTTTGAAATGACCCTTTCAGGTTGCAGATACACAGAAACAAGCAGACTTGGCAGCAAGCCTTGCAGTTGTTGATTATGACAAAGAGAATCTAGAACCACCAATATTATCAGTAGAAGAGGCTGTTGCGAGGTGTAGCTTCTTTGAGGTTCCTCCTTTCCTTTGTCCCGAACAGGTTGGTGATTTCTCAAAAGGAATGGCTGAAGCTGATCACCAAATTCTCTCTGCTGAGGTAATTTCCATACTTGGTTGAGCCATTTGCTACATTTCATCATGGATTGCTAATGTATCTTCTAAATTCTTACATCTAGCTCAAACTTGGGTCACAATACTATTTCTACATGGAGACACAAACTGCTCTTGCTGTGCCAGATGAAGACAACTGTATTATAGTGTACAGTTCTAATCAATGCCCTGAGTTCGCACATGATACAATAGCTAAATGCCTTGGTCTTCCTGCACATAATGTTCGTGTGATTACGAGAAGAGTTGGAGGAGGCTTTGGTGGCAAGGCCATAAAATCAATACCTGTGAGTCTTGTAAATATTCTGCAGTGTATTCATTCCATGAAAAAGAAAAAAAAAAAAAAGAATGCTTCCCTTTTGTAGGAAGGCATTCCTAGTTTCCTGCATGAAATTGAATACCAGAATCAGTGGAAATGAATATGGAATTAAAGCAACTAATATATGAAGACACCTTTCAGGACATTTTTTAGGGCAGTTGTTTTATATATGTGGTAATTTTACTCTGTGTTCTGTCTCCTTGTATCAATTACTTATTTCCCTTTTAATTTAGGTTGCCACAGCATGCGCACTTGCTGCTTACAAATTAAAGCGTCCAGTGAGGATATATCTCAATCGCAAGACTGATATGATAATGGCAGGAGGCAGGCATCCGATGAAAATAACTTACACTGTAGGGTTCAAAAGTAATGGGAAGATTACGGCCCTAAAACTTGATATACTAATAGACGCAGGGATATACTCAGATGTCAGTGTAATTATGCCTCAACATATGCTTGGAACACTTAGAAAGTATGACTGGGGTGCTTTGTCTTTTGATATAAAAGTATGCAAAACGAACCTTCCAAGTAGATCAGCAATGAGAGCCCCCGGGGAAGTACAGGCATCATTTATTACTGAGGCTATAATTGAACATGTAGCATCCACCCTTTCCATTGAAGTGGATTCTGTCAGAAATATTAATCTCCACACATACAACAGCCTTGACTTATTTTACAAGAGCAATGCAGAGGAACTTTTGGAATATACTCTACCTTCAATATGGGATAAGTTGGCCTCTTCTTCAAGCTTTTACCATAGGACTGAAATGATAAAAGAATTTAATAGGTCTAATAAATGGAGAAAAAGAGGAATTTCACGCGTGCCTACTGTGCATGAAGTGCTTGTGAGACCAACCCCTGGGAAGGTAAGCATTCTAAAAGATGGTTCTATTGTTGTTGAAGTTGGAGGAGTTGAGCTGGGTCAGGGTCTCTGGACAAAAGTAAAACAGATGACTGCATATGCTCTCAGTTTGGTCCAATGTGGTGGAACAGAAGAACTTTTGGAGAAAGTAAGAGTCATACAAGCTGATACCTTGAGTTTAATCCAAGGGGGTATGACTGCAGGCAGCACCACATCTGAGTCAAGCTGTGAAGCAGTTAGACTTTGCTGCAATGTCTTGGTTGAGAGACTTACTGCTCTGAAGGAAAGGTTGCTGGAACAAATGAGATCTATTGAATGGGAGACATTGATTCTGCAGGTATATATCTGAACTTCAGAAATATTCTGACTTTATTATTTTACCTCTTTGGTCACTGGATGACTTAAGAAAGTTACCTTCATGTGAATAACAATTTCAGGACATTTTTCTTCTCGCTCTCACTTTCAAAATGAGCAAAGTTTTGCATTTACTTTTCACCACACCAAATAGAGAAATAGGGAAAGGATATATTTGTTTCTAGTCAAATTCTTGATCACATATATTCTCATTGCATTTTCACTTTTTGCATCTACTGCAAGTTCACATGTTCTATTAATGCAGGCATATCTCAGTTCTGTGAACTTATCAGCAAGTTCATTATTTATACCTGGCATTTCTTCCGCAGCATACCTAAACTATGGTGCTGCAGTCAGTGAGGCAAGTACTTATCTATTGCCCCTCTATTGCTTTCATTTGTTGTTTATCTTAAAACTACCTGTCTTTATTGAACCACATTAGAATTTGTCCTATTGAACATGCAAATATAGAACAAATCATGCTACTATTTTGGCATTGCAGGTGGAAATAAACCTTCTAACTGGGGAGACTACCACTTTGCGGACAGATATTATATATGACTGTGGCCAAAGCTTAAATCCAGCTGTGGATTTAGGACAGGTTAGCCTGAATAAATTTCTTTCCATTTCAATTTAAAAAATTTGCTCTTTAACCTTGGCTTATTTACTTTTATCCCCAAGTCAGGCATTGCTTAAGTTCCTATTGTCCCTTGGTCCACTTTCACACATATTGCTAAAACACGATTTTCTTTATATAGATATATGCAGGGAGTTAGGATATCGGACCCCTATTTTCATTTGTTCTAGTTGGTTCATTGGTCTATAGGGTGTATGTGACTCAAGACTCATACAATTATGTTTTGCAGATTGAAGGAGCTTATGTTCAAGGACTTGGGTTCTTTATGCTTGAAGAATACCCCACAAACTCAGATGGATTAGTGATTGCAAATGGCACCTGGACTTACAAGATCCCCACAGTGGACACCATTCCCAAACAATTTAATGTGGAAATCCTCAACAGTGGACATCATCAAAATCGTGTTCTTTCTTCCAAAGGCAAGTTTAAATTTTCAATGAAATTTGCAGGTCACTTTCTTCATAAAATTGGTAAACATCCAACTTACAGCCACTCCCACCAAATTGTATTTGATATAGTACTAATTAGTTGTTTCTTAATAACGTAATTCTAGATTTTGTCAAGATATTTGATTGACTTTGAGTTCTTTAATTAGATGTATCATATATACACACCTTATATATATATGCAAGGATGAGCAGTACTATGACTTGAACATAAGATCGATCTCCACCTCAATTCCACCCCTAAACTAAGTCCAAGTGGCTAATTGCAATTATATTGTCAATAGTAATAGAACTCTATTGTGATTATCTTTAAGGAATACATCAATCATTAAAATAGAAAAAACAAATTAAAATTAAGAAATTAAAAAGCATTTTCTTCTAGTAATTTTTTGGGTCAGTCCTTGCTTAACAGCAACTATAAGTTATCTGTTTCTTTTGCAGCTTCTGGTGAGCCGCCATTGACTCTAGCAGTTTCAGTTCACTGTGCTACAAGGGCAGCTATAAGAGAAGCCAGGAAGCAACTTGTTTCATGGACTGGCCAAAACGATTGGTCAGAGTCTACATTCCAGCTGGAAGTACCTGCCACCATGCCTGCTGTGAAAGAGCTGTGTGGGCTCGATAGCATCCAGACGTTCTTGCAGTGGACAATGGGCAAAAAGTAAAGGAAATTCCGCTGGCTGGCTTGTGTTTTGTTTGTCGTCTTTTACGTTTAAAGCCATAACGATAAAAACAAGTTAAAAGCTGAAGAACACGTGAAACTCCAAGTACTGGCTGATGGATTTAGAGCCAAAAAGAGCGAAAGCAATCATTATGTACACTTGATTCCCTTGAATGTGTCTCCTTTTGTTTTATTTTTTTTTATTGTGGGTTAGGATTTTTTATATAAGCCGTAAATATCTTTATTAAACTTAATCTTTAACTTTAATTAAAACAAATAGAGTTAGCTTTTGTCATACACTAAAATAAACACACACATGATAAAATAAAGATCAACCAAATAATGTTAGCGTTATATATATATATATATATATGTTTTTCATATATAATTAACCGCATAATGATTTATTTTTAATTTTCGATCTACACGTGACACGCACTTAAATCAAAGTTATTGTTATAGGTGCATTTGCTCTTGGGCCTATATCTTTAGAATATCTATTATTATTATTATTATTTTAAAATAAAAATTTAATTTCTTTGTGAACCAATAAAATTTTGGCGTTTTCTTATCTTTTTAATAAAACAAAATAGTAATCATGGCAATACAAAATTGAAAAAAAAACAAACAAACAAACCACGCCGCTGGCGCAGGAGTTCTCTAGAATAGTCATATTGGTGCTAGCCCACCTCTGCTTTTAAAGGCAAATGGTATAAATTCCTCATTTAAAAGAAAAAAAAAATGCATGCCACACTCTGAACTCCAGGGCTTTATGGTTCGTAAATGGAATTCGTCTCTAAATAGAAAACCCAACGGGTCCAATTACGTGTATATTTTACTTAAACATAATTTATAATATCTTTTATTTTTTAATTTAATAAATATTTAAATAGAGCCTTTTATATAAGAATGTGTACTAACTAATCATCTTAATTCTTGAATTAAGTAGAAATGAATGCTCTGATTTCATCCAAGGCTATGGGTACTATATTCTGATAAAATGTCAAGTAGTAGCCATGTAACTTAAAATCAATATAGTTTAGGTAAAAAGAAAGCTACATCTGTTAAAAAATATCAAAATATTTTAATATTTTATTTTAAAATTATTTTAATTTAATTTTTTTATATGATATTAATGTTAACATTGACGTGATAATGATGTAACACCAAATAATAATGTGACAGGTTTTGGATGTGATGGTAAAAGTTTTAACATATTTATAAGTGGTTTTGAATTCGAATTTTAATAAATAAAACTTAAATTAAAGTAATTTTAAAATAAAAATAGGAAAAAGTTATGAATTTAAATAAAAATATTAAATTTAAAATAACTTTTTATATGTTTTGATCATTAAAAAATCAATTATATCTTGAGTTTATTAAACAATGAAAACAAATTAAGAGATACCGACAAGATAACGTAATTTTTTGCAATAAGGATTTGTTCATTTTCTTATGGTGTCGGCGTCAGAGACGTCATTCCATTGGTCCTTTCAACTTAAAAATACTCTAAAATGCCAAAGATCAGCACATCATCCATGTTGATGTATGAGTGATATGCGCAATAAAATATAATAAACAAAACGAAGGCATATTTCTTTTCTACTTGGGTGCCTTGTGTCTGCTTCAAATTTGTGATTGACTTGGCGTCCCCCTAATCTTTTGTTATATGTTAATGCAAGGAACAGCGAAAGCAACGAAAGCCCTCACTATACCAGTGGTTGGACTTGGTTATAATAATATCAATACGTGAAAGTTTGGAACGTCCTTTTGTTTTCTGACATCATTTTTTTGAGTCATGGGGGAGGTGGCTGCGGAAACAAGAAAGCAGAGCCTGGTTTTTGCTGTTAATGGACAGAGGTTTGAGCTTTCAGATGTAGACCCTTCTACTACTTTGCTTGAGTTCTTGCGTTATCAGACTCCTTTCAAGAGTGTGAAGCTCGGCTGTGGTGAAGGTCTGTTTCTTTCTCTCATTTTTCAGTTTCTCTGTTAGAGTTTTATGGTGTTAAATGCCGATGTTGGGTTTTTTTTTTTTTTAATTTGGAGAAGAGATTCGAAACTCATTTTCTTTATACGTTAACCAATGAATCAAATAATCGGGTACAGACTCCGATGGTGGGTTGTTTGATGTCCTGAACCATAATGAACAAGGAATATGCTTGAGTTTTTCATGTTACATGACTTCTTTTTGCTGGGTTGATGGACTATCTTCTTTAACCTGGATGGATGTTAAGCTGTCAAATTATGTTATGAAAAATTATTGCATGCGTACCCAACTGTACGAAGGATCGAAAGTAGAAGACAAAGTTAACGACCATAATCATAACTCAAAATGATCTTGACCCGAACCCATATCCGAAGCTAACATGAAAAAATAATTGTATGCTTGCAATGTAAATGGCGCCAAAGATGGCCAATACAAAAAATTCTGTACAACTGGCCCAAACCAACCCAGCTTAGATTGAAACTCAAAAGTCAAACTACGGTATCTGAAAGGACTAGAACTCAAAATTGTCCAACCTAACCTGAGTAAACTTGTCCAATTTTTTATCTTTGATTGCTTCTCATCTGTTATGATGGTCCTAATGTAAATCAATTTTCCTTTGGTTAGTTGCTGGTTTCTTCTGAAGTAGAATTTATATATATATCTATATATATATATATATATACATATTTCTCTCATGAATTTTAGCTTATTGCTGTTCAGTTTTAAGTTTGATTGATGAATTTTTCAGGCTTCTGTGGCATGTTTTTGTTTGCATGACAATTTTTAATGTAAATGTCAATAACCGGTTTCAATTTTGGCTAGTATTATCTGCACAGGAGACTGGGGATGGTTTCCTTGAAAATCAAAAGCTTGACTGCTTTAAATAATTTTTATAATTGAAAGTTTGACTGCTATAATGTTTCCATATAGAGCCAAGAGTTGACCTTCTTAGTACTGACTCTGGAATATGCTCAATTCAAATAATTTTCCTAAATTCCGTTTTACCATGTTTTTATCATTATCCATCATTTTACCTAAAATTTGAAATGGTACAGTTCAAGTGAAAATTTGAGTGGTTATGAAAATGTTTGCCTTTGCTGTTTCCAATCCATTTGCTTAAATTCTGTCCTTAAATCTTGTTAAAGATATAATCATCAGGATTTGATTGTTATGTAAATTCACTACTTAAGATACTGATTAACCTTTCCTTCCTGAAGGTTTAAGTTCTAGCAGCATAGAGCAGAAGCCAGTTTTGCAATGTCTTATGTTGCTGTATGTGTAATGAAATATTTATTTGTTTTGTTCTGAAGCAGAGGAAATGAAAGTAATTGATGTTTCAAATCTATGGGACTACTGTTTCAGTGTTTTTATTTGGGACCATAGAGGACAAACGCCTGATATGAAACAAGTTAATAAGTTTGTTTGATGGAATTGCATTCGTTTTCCAAACGAAATAGCATGATTTATCTTTAAGGAATCAATTCTGAATGTTGTTGTCCTGTTTAACAGGAGGCTGTGGCGCCTGCATTGTCCTACTGTCCAAGTATGACCCCGCGCTCGACCAGGTTCATGATTCTACTGTGAGTTCATGCCTCACGCTACTTTGCAGTTTAAGTGGATGTTCAATCACAACAGCCGAGGGAATCGGAAATAGCAAGGATGGTTTCCACCCTATTCAAGAAAGATTCGCTGGTTTCCATGCTTCTCAATGTGGCTTTTGTACTCCAGGAATGTGTGTTTCTCTCTTTTCAGCTCTTGTCAATGCTGATAAAACCAATAGGCCAGAACCCCGTCCTGGGTTCTGCAAGCTGACAGTTACTGAAGCAGAAAAGGCCATTGCTGGAAACCTTTGTCGCTGTACCGGTTACCGCCCTATTGCTGATGCTTGTAAAAGTTTTGCTTCTGATGTTGATATGGAGGACTTGGGTTTTAACTCCTTTTGGAAAAAAGGAGAAAGTGATGAAGTAAAGCTGAGTAGGTTGTCTTCATACAATCATAACAATGCAAGTTCTAAGTTTCCTGAGTTTCTCAAGAAGGAAATCAAGGCAGGTGTCTGTCTGGCTTCAAAAGACTATTGTTGGTATAGTCCTGCTAGTCTTGAGCAACTTCAAAGCTTATTGCAAGAGAATGAGGCCAACAATGGAAACTCCGTGAAGATTATCGTTGGTAACACAGGAGTGGGGTATTACAAGGAACTAGAACTCTACAAAAAATATATTGATTTAAAATATATTCCTGAGCTCTCAATCATTAGGAAAGACCAGACAGGGATTGAAATTGGTGCAGCTGTGACAATTTCTAAAGCTATCGAAGCTCTGAAGGAAGAAAATCTAGGCGATTATCACCTAGAAAGTAAAACAGTGTTCAAGAAAATTGCTGACCATATGGAGAAGATAGCATCGGGTTTCGTAAGGAATTCAGGTAGTGTTGGAGGGAATTTGATAATGGCCCAGAGGAAACATTTTCCATCAGATATTGCTACCATACTACTTCCTGTGGGTACAATAATGAATATAACGACAGGTCAGAAACTTGAAAAGCTTACACTGGAGGAGTTCTTCGCAAGGCCTCCCTTAGATTCCAAAGCCATTCTTCTAAGCATTAAGATTCCTTGCTGGGAGTCAAGAAGGGATATTTCTTCTGAAACTGATACTAAGTTGCTATTTGAAACTTATCGTGCTGCACCACGTCCTCTTGGAAATGCACTGCCCTATTTGAATGCTGCTTTCTTGGCCGAGGTTTCCTTTTGTAGAAATTCAACTGGAGTTAAGCTAAATGACTGTCAATTGGCTTTTGGTGCTTATGGGACCAAACATCCCATTAGAGCAAGGAAGGTTGAGGACTTTCTAACTGGAAAGTTGCTAAATGTTGATGTTCTCTATGAGGCTATTAAATTACTTGAAACTACTGTAACACCTGAAGATGGCATCTCTAGCCCAGCTTACAGGACAAGTTTGGCTGTTGGCTTTCTTTACGAGTTCCTAAGCTCCTTAGTTCACACCCCTGCTGAAATTCCGGGTGGTTGGCGCAATGGATATAGTATTGCTGTGTTGAATGGGGATTCCTATTCAGAGAACTATGATAAGTTCAATGGAATCAAATTCCCAACATTGTTGTCATCGTCAAAGCAGGTCATTCAGTCAAGTAAAGAGTACCATCCAGTAGGACAGCCAATTACAAAAGCTGGAGCTGTCATTCAAGCATCTGGTATGTCGTATCTTAATCGTTGTTCCATTGTCTTACAACCACTAGTTCACTGTTAAAATTTTATATTTTAGTTTTTTTATGCTTTTTTGCTGTTTAATTCATAACTGCATAGATGCATAATTAGGTTTGGTTAACATGTGCGTATGGCTACCAGTTAGGGTGTTATTTTAAAAAATATTTTTTTCATTTAACGTGCCATCCTCCTCAAATTCACAGGAAATTCTTTAAATACAAAACATCTTTACAAGTAACTCCTTAACTCTTAAAACAGTGCTCATAGATATTCATTAACCATTCCCTCCAAAATTAATTGGTTTGAACATGAAGAGGTGCTGATAATATCATCTCTTTCTGTGTATATGTTTGCTTGTTTCCATAGATGCAAGTGAATGTGTGTATATGCTTATGTGTTTCTCCAAATGCACGTGCTTGTGCATAAAAACTATTGCTACTTTGCAAGCACGAACTTCAAATTCATAAAGATTAGTTGGGATAATACCTAGTGATTTAAAACATTAAATATGAACATATCGGTGGTTTAAAAGTAACTTGTTTCTTCTGAATTGGTTCAAAATAGTTTGAATTTGTAGCACTTGTTTTCATTTTGAGAGGATGCTTTCTTTGGCCTTCAACTGTAGATTTTCACTTATTTACTATTGATTGCTCTATACAATCAAACTGCGTTTGTGGCTTATACAGCTAACCATGTAGGTGAGGCTGTTTTCGTGGATGACATTCCAGCTCCAAGCAATTGCCTATACGGAGCATTTATTTATAGTACAGAGCCTCTAGCACGGGTGAAAAGCATAAAATTTAAGTCTGGATCATCACTGGTTGGAGTCACTGCACTAATTTCTGTCAAAGACATTCCAGGGAAGAATGTAGGTTGTACGACCATATTTGGTCTAGAACCTCTATACGCAGATGAGCATACTCAGTGTGCAGGAGAGAGGATTGCCGTTGTGGTAATTTAATAATTTCATTATTGTTGATTAGCTTTCTGGCCTTTCTTTTGTTTGTTATAATTGTCATTAATATTGATGTAATACAATGGTAAATATGTTTCCTCTGTAGGCTTCTGATGCTTAATTTTATTAACAGAATGGCATTTTGACTTTAACAACTTGATCGTTGAAATGACTATTTCAGGTTGCAGATACACAAAGACATGCAGACTTGGCAGCAAACCTTGCAGTGATTGATTATGACAAGGAGAATCTAGAACCACCAATATTATCTGTAGAAGAGGCTGTTGAGAGGCATAGCTTTTTTGAGGTCCCTCCTTTCCTCAACCCTGAACAGGTTGGTGATTTTTCAAAAGGAATGGCAGAATCCGATCACCAAATTCTCGGTGCTGAGGTAACTTCCATACTTTGTTGCTGCTCCTGCTTCCTCTGCCCCAGCATCCCTGTTCTTGTTCTGTTTGACATCACCTGCTAGGGCTACAACACAATCCATATTGTGAATTCTTTTTGAAATTTAATAATGCTATAAATCCAACAGACTAATCACTTTGTGGAGCCACTCAATAACTTTTCTCATGGAAAATTTGCTAATGTTTGTTTTTGAATTGTTTCATCTAGATCAAACTTGGGTCACAATACTATTTCTATATGGAGACACAAACTGCTCTTGCTGTGCCAGATGAAGACAACTGCATGACGGTGTACAGTTCTAATCAATGCCCTGAGTTTGCACAAGACACAATAGCTCAATGTCTTGCTCTTCCTGCAAATAACATTCGTGTGATTACAAGAAGGGTTGGAGGAGGTTTTGGTGGAAAGGCCATAAAAGCAATTCCTGTGAGTATCATTCTTTATAATATATTGTTCCTCTTTTTTCCTTCTTTCTTTTCTCTTTTTTTTTTTTAGAAAAAGGAAAACATTTCTCTTTGTAGAAAGGTAGGCCTATTTTCCTGCATCAAATTGAATATTTGAAGACTGTAAAACTAAGCATTGAATTGGTGAAACTAATGTAATTACTAAGAAGAAAGAGTTTGATTGAAGCCATACGTGTTTGATTTAATGAAACTTTGTCCAGAGGAAAGCTTCTGAATTGTATAACTTGGTTGATTTGATTGGCATTGGCATATATAATTATTTGAAGAAGTACTTTGGATATGGTACAGCACATGAAACTAGCTTAACAGCTGATAAAATATGTTTAAGGTTAATAGATTTTCTAAAAAATGATCTGCTCTACTTTTGAGCAACTTGAATCCTCAGGCCTGTTAATCATACTAAATTACCTATCTATTTATAAACTAGATTGCTACTTTCATTATGCCAACTTTTACCATTAAGATCAGGCATAGCACTGAAAGGAACAAGTTTTAAAAGTTTAGTGTCCAGACTTGTTTTGTTGGATTTCACCCAAAGTGTTACATCAGAGAAAAGTTTTTGAGTCCCACTAGGTTCTTGAAAATGCAGAGGTGACATACAACATCATTCATACATGAGTACTAACTGCTCATCATTCATGAACAACTAAAAGGTACACAATTGAGATACAAATCTCAGGCAGGAGAATTTGAATTAGACGCTAATGAAGATGATTTAGGATGAAAATATTGAGAGTTGGCAATGAGATATTTGACCTATTTAAAACTGCTCAAAACCAGTCAGTGCTTGATAACATGGTGCATGTAGGTAATGCTGATGAAGTACTCACTTAAGTTGCCCTCTACATAGCATATAATAGTTTAGATCATGTGCTAGATGCAAACTGGTCGATGAGCATTCATTAAGAAAATGGAGAACTCACTTATATCGTGTAAAACAATAAGATATGCTCTGTGCAGGAGATGTGGTTGCAAACTATATACATGCTAACTTAAGCAGTTAACGCATAACAGACCTCTAAATTTTTTGGATTCTAAACTTTAAAAGCTACTATCTTTTGTCTGTTATATGTATCATTTAATTATATTCCTCCATGTAGGTTGCTGCAGCCTGTGCAGTTGCTGCTTACAAATTACAGCGTCCTGTCAGGATGTATCTCAATCGCAAGACTGATATGATAATGGCAGGAGGAAGGCATCCGATGAAAATAACTTACAGCGTAGGATTCAAAACAAGTGGGAAGATTACAGCCCTAAAACTAGATATATTAATTGATGCGGGGGCATTTGCAGATGCAAGTATTCTCATGCCATCACTTATTCTTGGGACAGTTAGAAGATATGACTGGGGTGCTTTAAATTTTGATATAAAGGTATGCAAAACAAACCTTCCTAGTAGATCTGCAATGAGGGCCCCTGGAGAGGTTCAAGGATCTTTTATTGTTGAAGCTATAATTGAACATGTAGCTTCCACTCTTTCCATTGAAGTGGACTCTGTCAGAAATATTAATCTCCACACATACAACAGCCTTGGCTTCTTTTACAAGAGTATTGCAGGTGAACCATTGGAGTATACTCTACCTTCAATATGGGATAAGTTGGCCACTTCTTCAGACTTTTATCAAAGGAGTGAAATGATAAAAGAATTCAACAGATGCAATAAATGGCGAAAAAGAGGAATTTCACGTGTGCCTATTGTGCATGAAGTGAATGTGAGACCAACACCAGGGAAAGTAAGCATCCTAAAAGATGGATCAATTGTTGTTGAAGTTGGAGGTATTGAGCTGGGTCAGGGTCTCTGGACAAAAGTAAAACAGATGACTGCATATGCTC